TTAGTCATTCGCTGCTAAGCTCAAAACAACCGCGCCTGGCTTGACGGAGAAACCAGGAGAACAGCTGAGCATATTTACGACAGTGCACTTTTACTTTCGCCCTCTGGAGGGAGCCTCACTGGAAAATCAACACCGGTTGCATAGTGTACCTTTAAGTGGCATCAAATCTAATTGTTACCTAGAGTAATGGTACAAAGACTCTAAAACAGGCAAAGCTGAAAGAATAACCTACTTACAGCAGCAATTAAGATAAAACTTAAAAAAAAAATACATATAACATTTTCCATTTCAAATTAGAAATCTTTAAATGTTTCTATCAAACATGGATAAAGTACATTTTAAAGTTTTAATTTTTTACAGTTCATATAAAATGTGCAAATGGTTCTTTATTTTCAAATGGAAAATTTTTATTAAAAGTATTAATTTATTGAAATTATTTATTATGTCATTACTAAAAGAATTGATAGATATAGCCCTGATTCAATTTAAATCAAGGAATTTAAGATCCTACATTGAATCAAAATCCCCTTTTAAACAGTTGGTAACCTTTTAGAGGTATATGAATTCAAAGGTTGCGTTTTGTACAGCAAATATAAATGTGCTTCATCCACTCTAAGGCTGATAAACACCGACTATGATTAAGAAGAGTAACATAACATTTGACTTCATTAAATCAGACTGTGAATACAATGAACAAATGGATTCTAACCTTTCAAAGTAAGAACATTTGAGTTAAAAATACATTCTGAGGGATTATTTATCTGACAGTGTGTCTCTTTGTACCTCTGGATCCGGATGCTCTGATCCTGGTGTCCCTGTGTAGCAATCATCACGTCGGCTTCGTCCAACACAAACACTCTGATCTTCTTGGGATCTATAAATTTGAATTTACTGCACCAGTCCAGCATTGTACCAGGTGTACCAATGACTATCTGCTCCTGCAGCTTCATGCCTCGTTGCACTGAAAGAGACCAGAGATTTATTTTTTTTTACAATTAAATAAAGTGAAAGAAGAACAAGTCATTTTGACAGTTAGGTGCTGGAAGCCAAACTTACACTTATTCCCTCTAATAGCATAGACTAATTTGACTTCAGGATAATATTTGCCCATCTGCTCGATGACTTTACCCGTCTGAAGCGCCAGTTCATATGTTGGTGACACACACAAGCACTGAAGGAGATTAAATGAGAAAAAAACAAGTGTTGCAAATTAAGTAAACATTAAAAAAGCAATATACATTTTCATGCAAATAAGCAGGAGTGCTTCTAACCTGGGGGTATTTGTTGTTTGGGTCGACGTGGCTGAGCATCGCCAGGACAAAGGCAGCCGTTTTCCCCGTTCCTGACTGAGACTGAGCGATCAGATTCTGTGGACTTCAGGAAACATTCAGCACTTAGACTCAAAGTAGAAAAACTTTCCAGTGGAAGAAAGCAGAACTCATCAGACGACGCTTTTCAAAACAGCTGGAAGCACCAAATAGGCTTTTTATGAGATATAGAAAGAGCATGAAGGAAGACTCACGGCTCAGCGAGCATCATGGGTAAGGCGGTTTCTTGGATTTTAGATGGTCGGTTGAACCCCATGGCATATACGCCCTGAAGAAGCTGTGGTTTGCTGCAAAGAAATAAAGAGCAAAAAAAAAATGCATTGAGCAAATGGCTTTAGTTTTTACACATTTTCTATTGAAGCATATTAGAAACACACTAAATGATGATTATTTCAGTGAACGAATTAAATCGGAATGTTTTTTGTTCAATTTCATGCTGAACCCATTTAATAAAGCACCAGTGCATTAAATAATGGGGAACTTCAATAACATAATCAGTTGTATGTCAATAGATCAAACAGAAGTAGATATTTCTTCATGTAGTTTTAATTATGATTGCAGCAAAAAAATGTTTTATAATGATACTCTCAAAAAGGTGTTAATTCAAAACCTATATAATGTTCAATATCTAATTATTTTTGAAGCAAAAATTATGTTAAAGGTGAAAAAACATTATTCAAGCCACTGCTCCTTCATTTTAAACATGTCTTACAAAACTTTTCAACCCGCGACCCCGAAACGACAGAGCCAAAGATTGATGACCCCTAAAATATGTATAACTGTTTCACTCTAATATAAATAAATACATGCATTTTTTTAAATAACATTTCAATATTTAATTCAGAATTTTAAATACATTTTTAATCATTTAAAGGGACCATTCCTTGCTGTGCACGTCATAATTTCAAAAATATTTCAATATTTGCTTGATGTATTAGATAAAAAATAATTGCATTTTTAATTAACATTCACATATTAAATTCATCATTTTGAATTTATCTTTAAATATTTTATCTCATTTTGCTTTTTATAAAAGACCTGACCTCCCAGCGCTGCGTGTCCCAAGCTTGTAACATCAATGAGCCCCCACACCCCCACCATAGCCTGTTCTTCCTGCCGCCATCTAAGAGGTTTCACAGCATTTAATCCAGGACCAACAGATTCTGAAACACTTTTTCCACCGCCATCAGACTGCTGAATGTTGAAAAAACTCTAAATAATGTTACAGACTCTGCATCAAACTGACCATATTAATGCGTTTTTTGGGGGGTTTTTTGCACCATGTTTTTTCTCCCACACCGATTACACTTGATCGTTGCTGCACTTTAAGAAATGGAAATGTCATGAAAGTTGTACAAAACGAAATTTTGTTTTGTATACACTCTGTGTATATAAAATGACAATAAAACTCATAATTCCCTGGTATATTCAAATGAGTAAATTATACATCTTTTTTTATGGTAAATTGATTTATTTCATGGGACATTCACATTCATACATTCAGGATCTATTTTATTGTCTTGTCTCCGTACCCCCACTGTAGGAACCTGTCATTTCGGCACACATCACTATTTTTAATGTTCTGCCAAGTCCATTTTAACTTTTCTGAATTTATCCATTTTGTTCCTGTCTGTACCCCTTTTTTTTCCGAAGAAAAGCGCTTACAGCAGCCAATTAAAATTTTAATAGCTATTTCTGGACATAATAGGGGGTATTAATAAAACATTGCTTCACTGCAGCTGCAATCTTGATTGTAATGGTTACTGCAAAATACTGTTGCATTATGGGCGCACCTTTTGTCCTGTGATTAGTCTGGTCTGTTTTACACCTGGGAGTATTCAGCCTCACCAGACTATCTCTTTTTGCCAGGCTTTGCCACTGACACCTCAATTTCCCCACTGTGATACAATAAATGGTTTTTTATTTTGTTTACTTTTTTGACATCATGAATCTTTTAAACTTATACTATCCTTGATCTGATCTAAAAAGTGTCCAAATCATATCCTATCCTTTTTCCCCACAGCCTCTTTGCTTTGTACGTGTGACATTGTAATGACAAAGTTGAATTCTATTCTATTCTAAAAGTTTTTATCAAAGAACACAAGGGAGACACTTACAGCCGTAGTTCCTCAAAGGACTTCACAGAGTACAGCGGAGAGTTTGGATCCTTCTGGAGAACTTCCACCTGATTTGTTGTATTTACAAGATCATTTCGTATCAGCTTGTTTAACAGTGATTGTGCCGCCTTGTCCTCTGAAAAGAAAGATAGGAAAGGCAACGTAAGCTTAGAATATTCACTGATGGGAAGATAATTGAAGGTCTTTTTTCCTGTTTTTAAGGCGGATCAACATTTCAAGCTCCACACCTTTGTCATCCTCGTCTGCAGTTTTGGTTTTGCCATCAGCTTCTGATTTTGCAGCCCCACTGCTGGGTTCTGTGGCATTAGAAACAGTACCTATAAAAAGATATATTTATAAAATGATTTTTATGATCATAATTTCTGTCAGGATTCAACAAATCATGTGTTCTGAAATTCTAAATGCGTTAAGTAGAATAAAACTCAGGAGCAACTAACGGTACATAGAAAAAGGCAAAAACCACTAAACCATTTTTCTAATAAAATGGAACCTGTGGTTGCAACTAATTATTCGGTCAATGATGTAAAACACGATGTTTGTATTTGACTTAATTTTAAATTAATTAGTTTTTCTCTTAATTTTTGACCACATTCTCAACAGTTGTGCATGTGGATTAGTGTGTCCCACGTACATCAGTGGTGTTCAGTTTATTTTCACCTGATCCACAGTTTTAAAATCTAAACCCGTGTTTTAGATGTTCTATAAGGTTGATCAATTGAACAACATGAACTTGATGGACAGAAAGCAGCTAAATAGGACACCCTGGATCTACTGATTATCTGGTGATTAAAACTGTCTTTTGTTTATTGTTGCTTAAGCGTGAGGACAGATCGATTTACATAATTCTATATTTCATCTAGAAAATGATTTTAGAAGGCCTGGTATCCAGGTTTGACTGATTAACTGCATGAATGTGCAAACTTTGTGCAGTCGAAATCGCAACTTTCTTCATCCATTTTTAAGCACGTTTATTGTGAAAAGACCATTAATGAGTTAAAGGAATAGTACACCCAAAACATGATTAGCCTTCATTTTCTACTCACCCCCATGCTGAACAACACTCTGGAGTACTTTTTT